CCGCTGGCAGAGCAGCCGGGAGCCACCGGAGCAGCCAGCAGCAGCTCAACGCAACCGAGACTCAGCCGCTGCCTGAGGACCAGGGCTGCCCGCCCAGCTCCCAGGAAACGGGCCCGCCCCCGGACCCCCATTGGTGCGGCTGCCACAGCCTGACTTCTCATTGGATGGACGCTGATGTCACTAAGTATCCAGCCTTCCCTCTCCTGCCAGAGGCGGGGGAGACACCTGTTCTGAGGGACAACTTGTTAAAGGGTCTGCGATTCTGCCTCCTCCCCCCCTGCCGCCCTCCTCGAGAAGGAAAGCATCTAAGCTGCAGCTGCTCAAGGGAAAAAAAACGAGGGAAAGGAATGCACAGTGTATCCCACACCCACCTCCTCCGCCCAGTTGCTGCGCACACATGCAAACACACAAACGTTAAAATCAACAAGTATGCTCTCCGTGTGTTGAGCAATACGCCGAAAAGCTGTGGGAAAACAAGAGGATAGAGATAATCTGAGGGGAGGATGACAATGAAAGCAGAGAGACAAAATTAACCGACAGGTAGCAACTGGAGACAACTAAAGGATAGCTCCAATGCTGTTTAGCAACTACATATTTTAGATGCTTATTTCAAAAGCTCTATAACCCAATAGTGGAAATTTGGAAAGATCGTCGACAATTTTGCCATCCTATTTACTGCCTCCCCCACACACTCCCATCTCAGTCTCCTTCGAGTCTTAGTCTACACGTAGACACCGCCTAACATTCGGACAGGGCATGCATAAGTCGGGTGCAGTGTAGGTGGTGGATAGTGTGCTACAAACAGGAACCTCAAGAAAGGACCTGATCTCACCGTCATTAGCATGACATCGGCATGCTACTTAATCTCCTTGAGCCTCAATCTGTTTGCTGTTAAATGGGGAGGGCCTTGGCCTAATGATGTTGAAGTGAGGATTAAATGAGATAGTTTCTGGAGATCACTTAGTGTATACCTGGCACATAGAAGGGCTCACTAAGTGCAGTTTATGAGTTTAAAATCCAATACAGAAATCTGATGGCTGTTCAGATAACTATAATATATTTGGCAGAAGGTAGGCAAGGAAATGAAGAGTGAAATTAGGGGAAGATGAAATTTAGAGTAGCACAAATGAAGTGTAATCCAGGTGGGCCAAAAAAAAGGTGAACCAAAACTTGGAGGTAGAAGAGTACAGCAGGTGGGCATGACAAGCTGTTCGTTGGGTGGAGCTCAGAAATCCTTCGTGTAGCAGTGGAATATAACACTGACTGATGCCAATGTGTAAATTGAGTTAAAATTAGGAAGGACTTGAATATTAGATTGAAGAATTGGTGCTTAATTGGTTTGAAAATAAGAGTTCTGAAGAAGGAAATGATGTAAGACTTACTGTTCTCAGTTAGGGTGTGAAAGAGGTTAGAGAAAGTTTTGTTAGGCGCCCATTATTAATTGTTCCGAAAATCAGAAATTAGGACCTGATTTAGGAGTAATAGAGTAATAAACGGATGGGAGAGGATAGGAGTGAAGCTACTGGGAAGACAGACTCTCTGGGTGAGGCTGTGGTTTAAGGTGGGGGTCACAGGGACAGTAGAGTGTGGGGGTGGAAGAAGTGAGCCAGGCCTGGTGTAGAAGGAGTGTGGCCAGGACAGGTTAAGAAGATGAGCTTTTGTACAGAAGTGGCAGGTAGATAGGAGCCATTTTACAAGAGGTTAAGAAGTACATGGGGATGCAAAGAGGAGGAACCTATTTTCAGAGGAGAACAGAGAAATAAACCAAGCTGCTAACTGCTTCTACTAGACGGCCATGCAAAAGTGAGTTTTGATAGAGACAGGATGAGGAGGACAGGTCCAAAGGGATAAGGAAGTGGTGGGTGTTGGACAGAAGCTGCGGATGAGCACTGAGGACACCTCCAACTAGAGCTCTGAGTGAAGCCCTTTTTAGTACAAGAGATCTAAGATGTTCATGTTATTTTTTTAAAGCCAGTAAAAAGAGACTGTAATAATGGGTGGTACACGGTTTAGGAGATAAATGGGTAGAGATGGGGTCAGGAGCTGAAGTGAAGACCATAATGTCCATCATGTGGAGGTCAAAGAGGGCACCACACGAGAGGAAGCCACGTAGTGGTAGAACAAAGACTGTGGAACAATCTGCAATATAAGCTATTAGTGAAAAAAGCAAAATGAGAAAGTATATATACTGTATGTGTTACATTCTGGTTAAAAGGATAAAGACAGGCTGAGGATGTAGCTCAGTGGTGCCTCGCTTACCCTGCAAGTGTAAAGTCCTGAGTTTGAGCCCCCGTACCAAAAAAAAAAAAAAAATGATAAAGACAAAAGTAAGAAATGACATTTGGTCAGGTGTGGTGACACATGTCTATAATCCCAGCACTCAGAAAGCCGAGAAAGAACCACTGTGAATTCAAGGGCAGTCTAGACGATATAGTGAGTTCAACGCCAGCCTGAACTACATAGCAAAGCTCTGTCTAAAAAAAAAAAAAAGACATTTGTAATTGCTTTCATCTGCCTAAATAGACTCTACGAATATAGCAGATACTAAGAAAGGAAGTTACACACTGAGAAAGGAAAGAGACTTTTTGTATTCACTTTATTTTCTTGGTACCGGAGATTGAACTTGGGACCTTGTGCTTGCAAGGCAGACGGCGAAACCACTGAGCTAAATCCCTGGCCCAAAGGAGACTTTTTATTTTGGTCATTTTATCATTTCTGATTTTTACAGTATGGAAACAATTTGCTATTTAAAAGGTAAAATTAAAAGTATAAAAAGTTTAAAAATATTTATATTATGGAGTGCTATGCAACCACTTAAAATGATGTAGAAAATATATGTATTGAGTTGAGAAAAGCTCTATAATATAGGAAGTGCAGAAAGAAGTTTGTAAAATACAATATATAAAGTATTCAATAACTAGAGAATGGTTTCAGTTTATTTCAGGACCTTGGAAGGTATTTCAATTCTTTTCTTTTCTTTTCTTTTTCTTTTTGGTACTGGGGATTGAACTTGGGTCCTTGCACTTGCAAGGCAGGCCTCCGAACCGCTGAGCTAAATCCCCGGCGGTATTCAATTCTTTGGAATACATGATGTGGCCATTTTAACAACATAAACATATTCACTGTAAGACATACAATATGTATAAATTTCAATAGTGATGAAGAAAATGTACTCAGTTGCACTGTTGTGGTAAGATGTGTAGTAATTTAATACTAAAATTATATGTAATATTATTGCATGTTATTGTGAAAAGAATTCAAATGTTTGAAGAGTATTTCTGTAAAGCAAATAAAAATCATATTGCTAGAACCAACGTTAGCTAGAATGAAGGTGTGTGCAGAACAGAACAGTGAGAAGGGGTGGATGGGAGCTTAGGAAAGAGGGATTTAAAGGAGAGCAGGGCAGAGACAGGAGACCCAGCTAGGGTGGTCGATGATTAGTGATCCCAGTTCTCCAAACTGGTGATTTCCTTCAGAAAGTACAGCCAGGTATGGCAGTGTACGCCTGTAATACCAGCACGTGGGAGGCTGAGGCAGGAAGATCATCAAGAGTTCGAGACTAGCCTGGGTACATGGTGAGTTCAATGCCAGCATGAACTTCAAAGTGAGACCCTGTCTCAAATCTCCCAACCCCCACAAAAAAAGGAGGAGAAAAGGGTATAGTAGACTTGAGAACTCATGGTGAGAAACAGAAATACTTGGAACTGCAACGAGGCAAGTGATTATAGGATAGCTGGGAGTACATCATGAAAAAGCTCATCTATGAAGTCTGTGATTGTAAGAGAATTAAGTGCTGTTATGTGTGTGTGTGAGAGAGAGAGGATTAGAAGACTTGTTTATATCATCTCTATTTAGTGGGGCCTTAGTTCATTTTCTGTTGTTATTGCAAAATACTCAAAGCTGGGTACTTTGTAAAGAAAAGGGTTTTTCTAGCTCACAGTTCTGGAAATTCAAGAGCATGGCTCCAGCATCTGCTTGACTCTGGCAAGGGCATCAGAGTAGCGGCAGTGAGTATGAGCTTGGCAGTGGTACTTGTGAAAGAGGGATGGAGGGGAAGCGCTGGGCTTGCACAGAGCCGGGTAGTCTGGAAGGAACTAATCCGGCCCGGTGACACCCACATTAGTCCCTCCCATGGGTGGAACCCTATGATCTAACCTTCCCCTAGGCCCTACCTCTTCAGGGTTTACCATCTCGACACCAAACGCTGGGGGTCAGGCCTTCCCCATAGAAATCCTTGGGGACCAACTCTAACCTAAAGTATAGCAAGTGGACTTTCTTTTCTTTTTCCTTCCTTTATTTTTCTCTCCCCTCCCTCCATTCCTCCCTTCTCCTTTATTGTACTTTAACTTTTTATTGACATATACCTACAAAATGCAGTGTTCACTTTTATTTATCTGCTTTTTTTTTTTTGGTACTAGGGATCGAACTCAGGTCCTTGTGCTTGCGAGGCAGGTGACAGAACCACTAAGCTAAATCCCCAGCCCATCTATCTGCTATTTCTACCTTTTGTATATATTCTTTTAAAGTCTGAAATCAAGGGCGTGGATGTTGCTCAACAGCAGAGCTCTTGCCCACCATACCCAAGGTCCTGGCATTAATCCCAACACTACAGAGAAAAAAAATCTGAAACCAATGCAAAATTATTTTCTAGAATAATTACAATTTTATAAAATAACAAGAACTGTGTATTTTTAAAAAATCATATGGTACACCATGAATGTACAATTTTTATCTATGAATAAA